TTTGAGTATGTGCCCAAAATGGAAGTGTTGCATTGTATGTAATTCTATAATTAGCTCTTCAAAGAACTGTTAGGCTTCTCTGCAAAAAGTGCACTGATGTACATTTCTACCAGGAATCTGTAAGGATTTTTTTTTATATATATATATTCTTGTTCACCAATATATGTTTGTGTTATTTTAGTATAACCATTTTAGTGGGTATGAAGTGTAGTTTTGATTTTAATTTGTCTAATGACTGTTTATGTTGAACCTGCTTTTCATGTGCTTATTTCCTTTGTTTATCTTTTTTTTTTTTTTTTTTTTGTCCTTACCTTTGTTTTACCTGGTTGTTGGTATTTTCGTTTTTGAGTTGCAAGAGTTTGTATGTGGGTAGGTATTTTTATATACTAGGCCCTTACTATTATATATGATTTGCTAGCATGTTCTCCCATTCCTGTGTTGTTTTTTTACTTGATTGTTTGCTTGATTTTTGAAGTACTGAAGATTGAATCCAGGGACCCTGAACTACATTCCCAGCAGTTTCAATTTTTGAATCAGGGTTTTACCAAGTTGCCTTGCCAACTTTGATCTTGTTCTCTGGCCTCAGTCTCCCAAGTATCTGGGAATTCAGTCGTGTGCCACAAAGTCTAATGTTTTCACACTCTTGGTATTGCTCTGTAAGGCGCAAAGTTTTAATTGAGATGTATGTATACACTATTATTTTTTATTTAATCATGACAGCCTGGTTTGTTTTTTTGTTTTTTTTTGTCCTATGGTGGTTCTTCTGTTGTGATAACTATAGTTTTTGTCTTTTGCTCCATTAATATGATACATTACATTGATTGATTTTTTTTATATGCACAGTCAAGCTTGCAGTCGCTCTCACTCTCTCCCCCATTATGCTTTTCTAGATTTGTTTAAATTTATTTTTTAAAATATGTTGCTGTATTCATAAGAGGTACTATTATTATTATTATTATTATTTTTTTTTTTTTTGTGATCCTTTGGCTTTTGTATTTGGGTAATACTATCGCCATAAAATAAATTGGAAAGAAAAAAAATAAATTGGGATATTATTAAAATAAAAAATAAATAAATTGAGATGTTTTCTCTTTTATTTTTTTTTCTCTTTCTGAGTGCTTGGGATCAAACCCAGGGTCTTTTGTACATGCAAGGCGAGAGCTGCCAGTGCACAACTTCCATAGCCCTTCTCTTTAATTCTTAGTTTTTGTTAAGTACAGTATTAATGCTAGTTTTTAAAATATTATTCTAGGGGCTGGTGAGATGGCTCAGTGGTCTAAAGCACCTACTTAGAACAAGCTCAGCAAAGCACAGGGACCGCGGTTCAATCCCCTAGCACCACATGCCAGCCAGCCCTGCCCCCTGGTGGACTGAGCTGGCGCCACACACACACACACACACATACACACACACACATAAATAAAAATTAAAAATAAAATAAAATAAAATATTACTCTAAAATTCAGCAGTGAGGCCATACAGAGTTGGGCTTTTGTTTGCTGGAAGTTTTTGTTTACTCAGCCTCTTTGCCCAGTAGAAATATAGCTCATGTCTTCATCTTGAATATTTTTAGTACTTAATCAGGTACATACTGTGCGTCTTTAGTGAAGAAAATGATGATGAATCTAGATGAGAACCTAAACCACTAACAAAGGGAACCTAACACATAGTTGCTTAAATAATCAGTAAGCTTATTACTTTTTGTCAAAATAATATGAATAATATTGGTCTAGACCTTTAAGGTTCTGTGAGATGTTTTATGAGGTTATTCTGGGACCCAGATTCTTCCTATTTCAAACTGTGCTTGAACTTAGTCTTCCTGACTTAGCTTCCAGAGTTCTGATATTACAGGCATGTACCTCCACACCCATATGCCATTTCTATTTAATAAAGCAAAGGTGTTTTCTGTTTTTTTGGGAAGAACAAAGAATCTGGGACCCAGATTCTTCCTATTTCAAACTGTCCTAAGCTCTAGGACAGTTTCTGAATGGTAGAATGTGCTGCAGGCTGGGGAAAGGAAGTCCAGGTACAGTGATTTTCATTGCTTGAGGTAGTAGGGATCAAACCCAGGGCTTTTGCATTGAGCTTCATACCTTTAAGCTTCCTTCTCTTTTTACACATTTTTAATTTTTTATTTTGAGACTGGTTCCCACTAAGTTGCTGAGGTGCCCAGGCTGTGCTTGAACTTAGTCTTCCTGA